AAAACTGAATTTATGCTCATTGGATCAAGATCTCTAGTGCATACTTTTCAGTTTCAAATTTAAACATAATGATTGAAAACAGACCAATTAAACAAGTGAAGGAATGCAAGACACTAGGAGTAACAGTTGATCAGCATCTCTCTTGGAAAAGTAACACTGAGAGTATCTGTAAGAAAATCACATCAGCCATTTCTGTTATTAGAAAACAAAAGAGTTTGTTGACCGTGATACACTTGTTTCTATATTTATTATATACATGACAAAATTACTGCAATCTGATTGGTTAAGAGGAGTGCAATTATTTCATTAATTGAACTCTCCAGGAGTGCAATTAATGATTTTCGTGATGGCTGGGGGGAGCGGGAAATCAAAACAACAAAATCCAATATGGCGGCGAAATTTAGATAAGTATTTCTAACAAATGTGGACGAATTTAACTGAATTTTGGCACAAGAGTGAGTTTAAGAAACATTGTATGGCAAAAAGAGCCTGTGGGAAATACCTGGAAACAGTCTTAAGAAATAATCTTGGCGGGATGCAGCGAAACGTAACTATGTAAGTTTGAAATACAATTTATAAAGATTTTCTTAGTCTAAAATATGTTGTTTGAGTTTGAATCTTGTGTTCTAGTTTAAGTTATGTGCCTTTATGAGTTTATAATCATTTCCCAAGTTTGTTTCTACCAAATTGCTTACAAAAGAATTAAAAACTCTTGACAAAATGCAGTTGAAATATAAAGAAAGCGATTTTGTCATGCATATAATAAATAAATAATCACACGGGCGAGTCGTGCAATTAATGATTAACACTACTCGTGATATTTGAAAAATGTGCCAAATTGCACTCGCCTCGGCGGCTCGTGCAATTTTGGCACATTTTTCATATCACTCGTAGTGTCAATCATTAATTGCACTCCTTCCCGTGTGATTACCTATACTTAATGCAAATGTACAACCATACTTTACTTATTGTTGTGAAGTGTGGGACATTTTTGGTGAAACTCAATCACAACGATTACAAAAGCTTCAAAATAGATGCGCTCGAATTATTATGGACATGGGTAACGAAGTTAATGCCCAAATCGCATTAAATTCGTTAGGATGGGAGACACTAAAAGTACAAAGAACTAAAGCGAAGGCAAAATTAATGTTCAAAATTTTGAATATGTCTGGGCCTAAAAGCCTAACAGACCTTTTTACCTACAAGAATGAAAATACATATTACTGTCTCCGTGACAATGAAACAACACTCGTTTTGCCACAGCCCCGCACAAATAGCATGAAAAAGAGTTTTATGTTTAATGGGTCAAAACTATGGAACTCAGTGCCTAAAGAAATCAGAGGAATTAGGTCCCAGTCTCTATTTGAAAGAAAAATTGCTGCTCATGTTACTAAATAATATATTTATACATACATATATAAATCCTTTATTGTAAATAGTTATCTATACGTTTTTTTAGTTGTCTATATTGTCAATTTTGTCAATTGGAACAGTTAGATTATTTCTATTTTCTGTTATTTGATTCCATAAGAGTCATAACAACACTTATATATAATAAATTTTGAACACACGCCCTTCGTGGAAATCAATGTTTTTAATTGACGTAGTTAGCGTGTCAAAATAAAATCTATCTATCTATCTATCTATCTATCTATCTACCTTTAATATTCTCTTCTCTGCATCGCTCGAAACTTTAAGTACTATTTAAAACACGAGTAGGAGTGTTTTATCAGATATATAAAGCGAGGCGCAGCCGAGCGTTATATATCTGATCTAACACGACAACGAGTGTTTTGAATAGCTTAAAATACGACTACAAAAGAATACTAATTAGGATGAACCATAGTATAATCACGCTAATTAAGATGAACAATTATATAATGCCACATGTGTTTTATCAGATATAAAGTCACTCCACGTGACATATTATGGCTGACATGATTTGCCACAAGGTTTATGAATTATTAATGAGTATTTTAATAACATTTAATACATCACGGTTGACCGCTGTCGAAACTATAAATTATATTTGTACATGTGCGAGAAAGCTACGAAATATCGTAGATATACGGACTGCAAACTACTTGTGACAACGATGGAGATTGCCCTAGGCCTAGCGCTATTCCCACAGACTTCAATTTTCTTTAGCCAACATCCGTATATTATTTCGTTTTGAAATTTGTGAACATACTGCAATCTATATTTATATTTCATTTTGAGAAGAAAATTTGTAAACGTAAACAATCTGTGTGATTGGCCAATTTTGACATCCGTTTAAAGTGGGCGTAGCCCGCAGGCTAAGTGGGCGGAAATGGCAAAGCATGGGGTTTCGTGCAGGCTCTACTTTCCCTGACAGCGGCTGCGCAGGCTAAGGAAATAGCATTTCAGAGACTCTAAATTTAAAAATTTCCTCGTGCCTTTGGCCCTCGTTTTCAGCCCCCAATCAAAAAGAACTTTCTACGGCATTGCACGCTACTTTAATATGTCTATGCGTAAAATATGTGTACTTTTGTTTGTAAATCGCGTCTTCATTTTCGGATAGCAAACACCTTCGTGACTTCGTATTCGATGAAATATTCGGAAAATTTTTTTGTCAATCGGAAATTTTTGGCCTACCCCAACTATACATGCTAG